CTTTTATTATTTTTTTTACTTTTCAATCAGGTCGATAAATATAGTTATCGATCATTTGCCGCAAAAGTAAAATTACACGCTATTTCCCGCAGCTGAACCTGCCGTAATTACACACTTTTGGCACACGTGGCATCGGATGGCATCAAGAGCATCCAAAGCTATGTGATATCGATTTTTTGAATCCATCGCACGTAGTATAGTGTCTGTAATTACGACAGGCCCTGCTGCGGGGAACAGAGAATTTTCCTCTACGTATTATTTTTCCATCACAGTTCTTTTTTAACCCTTCAGATCTGTGCATTAGGAGGTTTTTCTCTTTAATTTGTTACCGTATCATTATTCCTACCCAAGTATTACTTTAGAGTCGATAAGCAACGAGGAACGACTACTGGAACAGCTGGAAAAACGCCTAGCTGATAGTGAACGTGCCTCGGACGCTGAGGAATGTTGCGAGCATCTTGATGTAGGTGGACCTCCTTTTAATTGTGGTAACATCTCCAGAATTCTCAAGGTAGTTAAATGACCCCTTGCAGAATCTCGAGAATCTTCTGGAGAAGATCAGCTCATCGTTGGAAGTCGACGAAGAGACGACATCAATGGACGAGTCATTCGTGCGCGAATCGTACGCGCGACTGAACGAGTCGCGACGACGGCTAGCCGATGCGACACGCGAACGCATCGCGGAATTGTCGCGTGCTGTGGCCGACTGTGAACGATTTGAGAAACAAATGGCCGACATGCAACAATGGTCGTCACATGTGTCATCGCTTCTCGATCTCAGAAAATCTGGTGACGTCTCCGCGCTCGACGTACCCGATGAGTACAAGGTTGGTGGCGCCGGACCATTTTTCATAGGCTTGTCGAATCGAGGGTGCTGATCAGTAGAGCTAAAGTTCCTCCTCTCTCCTACCTCTGTCCTCTATCTACTTCCCATCGATCGATATCGGTCGATAAACTCTATTTAATATGCATAATTGATTAATATTTTCCGCTTCTTCCAGTCTGCTTTTGAGTCCGGAACTCTAGTTCAAGTGAGTTCGGTTTGTGCATGGCATGTGTGATGGCTTGTTTGCATGCGTTTTGTGGAAAAAAATCTGTGATTGATTGAAAATCGATAAAATTGCAACGCAGTCAGCAACGCTTGGGTCACATATCCGAGGCGTTTTTCTAGTCCTTCCCAGCTCATGGCTGGGGAGACGGTCAAGAGTCCCCCGCGACCGCCGCGCTAAAACTAGGTCACCGCGCGCGACGTCGCCGGCGTTTTTGCAGTTTGAAACATGGCAATTGGCCAAGTTAGGACCCGTCTCTCTAGACGATCGATACAACGCTTTTTTGTTCCGTCTGTGTAGTCCCCATTTCTGCATTTGTATT